GTTGGCTGGGAAGAATGGCTGGATACTCAGGTGAGGGTCCAGTGACCCTGCTTGGCACTCCTTTAATGAATGAGCTCAACCATCAGCAAGCGCAATTGTGACTGTTTAGTGATCAGGCTCAGCCAAAGTCATGATGACGGTAGTTATTTCATGCAGAAGGGACTTCTGTATAGCATCTTCTTATTAAAAGGACCTAGAATTTAAAAGAATTTGGTGCTAAAAGCCACATATGAGGGAGAACATACGTCGTTTGTTTTTCTGAGTCTGTTACTTTACTTAGTATAACAGTTTCTAGATTCATCCGTTTACCTGCAGATTTCATTATTTCATCTTTCTTTACTGCTGAATACAACTCCATTGTGTAAACACACCACATTTTTGTTAACCACATTCACTGCTGGTGAGATTGCCATCTTGTGCAGCCTCTATGGTAAACAGTATGGAGAACTCTTAAAAAACTAAAAATGAACCTACTGTATGACCCAGTTATACCACTCCTTGGCATATACCCAAAGGACTCATCCTATTGTAGAGACACTTGTACAACCATATTTATTGCTTCTCTTTTCACAGTAGCTAAGAGATGGAAGCAACCTAAGTGCTCCTCAACTGACGAGTGGTTAACAACCATTGTTCTTAACCAATGAGCCATCTCTCCAGCCCTAATGCTGATATCTTGACTTGGGTTGGATCAGTTGTAAGAGGGAGGGCATCACTGAATCCCGTGGCAGCTTTTTCAAAGCGCATATATTCTTTTCTCCTTTTTCATGCTTTTAACCTTTTTCAAAGTCTCAGCAATATGGTGCAAAGAGATGTTAATTTTCGATTGCTTTGGACAGTGCATTATATTTCCTGTATTTATGATGTCCAGCCTGATGTTTAGACTAGTATGCACATTGGGTATTGGTCAACTCTGGCAATTAGTGTTTTTGTCATTTTTTCTATAGAGTGGATCCATTCAAATACTTTTATGTTCATTGGTTCACTACAGTTGCTTAGAATAGTGCCTGAAACAAATGAAGCAATTACGTTTTTCATAAATGAATGGATCCTGTAGGAACAGCATGAAAGAAATTATTAAATCTTTTTAGAACAAGACATTTGGAAAGGCATTAGGGTAAAAGTGTTGAACTGTTCCTTAGATGATTAATAGTTCACTAGACAGTTCTTGGAGGAGACAGTAAAAAAAAAAAACTATGGCTTGTGAAAGTTATAGAAGTATGAAGCTAAAAGTATATTTGTTAAACTGAGTGATATGGCTATGTCTTAGAGAATTCAGTCAGATGAGACTGTAAGTGTAACCATTATAAAGGAATTTAATGTCATGGTACAGAGATTTTTCAAACATATTCAAGTGTCATAACACTTGTTTCACTGTGTGAAACACCATGCACCTTCCAAAACATAGTAAAGATTGTTGTTTTTCTATTTTTTGATGTTTTGATTGTTAGTCTTAGCCTTTAACTTTTGTGCCATCTCTCCAGCCCTGTTTTCTATTCTGAAAAGATTTTTTTAATGGCTAATAATTATCTGGTTCCTGCTAACTTATGCTTGGTGTTTTTACCTTATACTTATTAGTTTATTACTGTTATTACTTTATATTGAAAGTTATTGAAATTATTTTACTTTTGCTACATTTT